GAAGAGCTACACAGAGGAAGACAACAATGTCACTGCTACGTGTAAGTCAAAAGGCCCAACCTTCAACAACCTCAATTTATATAAAGCAAGAAAGAACCAGGGGTGTTTTCATGAGATGAAAGTAGGAGAATTTCTATTGTGAACATGTTACTGAGAGTTGTGAGTGTGTGAAAGAGAGACCCTGGGGCTGTGGTATCTGAGATGCTGGTGGGGTGTTGGGTGTGGACCCTGGACCAGTGTAACCCTCTGTGAGTATGTGGTGGTGTCTGATGAGAGTGAACTACTGTCATGATGTGACTTTAGGTGGGAGGTGGACGGCCAACCAGGGTGTGTGTGTGCCTGAGTGTAAAGGGGTGACTGTGTTTTGTCTTCATGACTGCGATATGTGTGTGTGTGTGTGAGCACAGCTCAACCAGTGCGTGAGCATCTTTATATGCACAGTGAGCAGGTGTGTGTGACTCAGTGAGCTCCATGGCTCTGTGTGACTGTGGGTGTGTGTGCTGGGATGTGACTAGGTATTGAACTAGGAGCATGCAAGTGTCTTTCTGAGCACGTAAAAGTTTCTCCCAACAGGCCGGGAGCGGTGGCTCACACCTATAATCCCAGCACTTTGGGAGGCCGAGACGGGTGCATCACAAGGTCAAGAGAGATCGAGACCATCCTGGTCAACATGGTGAAACCCCGTCTCTACCAAAAATACAAAAATTAGCTGGGCATGATGGCACATGCCTGTAGTCCCAGCTACTCGGGAGGCTGAGGCAGGAGAATTGCTTGATCCCAGGAGATGGAGGTTGCAGTGAGCCGAGATCACGCCATTGCACTCCAGTCTGGGTAAGAACAGCGAAACTCCGTCTCAAAAAAAAAAAAGTTTCTCCCAACATAGCAGTGCCTCTGATGAAGCAGCTGGGCCCTCCCCATATGTGTCAATGTGGATCCTGGGTGACAGAACTGGTGGGGATATTGTGGATATCAAGGAGTCACCTCTGCATGGAATGCCTGAATCCTCAGGTGCCTCTTTTCAAGCAGAGTAGGGAAAAGAAACATAGACTATGGGGCTGATGGTAGGTGCCCAGAAAGACCTCCTACTTCTGCCTCCAGCCTCAGGTCTCTCTGTCTCCCAGCCTGTCCATCCCATTAAGGGAGAAGAGGATGAACAGATCCTGGCTCACTAGGGAAGGCCACTGGGGGAACATGGTTTCAGAGACCGAGTCTCCCCAAATAGAGAAGAAACCAGTGTATCCTGAGTTCATACAGAACTTACAGTGCATATTAATCAACAACTTGCCAGGGTTTGTGGCTCATGCCTCTAATGCCAGTGGTTGGAGAGGTTGAGGTGGACGAATCGCTTGCAGTGAGGAGTTCCAGACCAGCCTGGGCAACATAGTAAGAGCCTGTTTCTACCAGAAATTTAAAGATTAGCCAAGCATGTTGGTGTGCACCTTCATTCAGGAGGTTTTGGCAGGAGGATCACTTGAGTCCAGGAGTTTGAGGCTACAGTGAGGTGTGAGCATGCCACTGCACCCCAGGCTGGGTGACAGAGTAAGATTCTGTATCAAAAAACCCCGAACCAGAACACCAAACAGAGAAATGAAATCTCACAGTATTTAGATTACCTCCCGTCGCTTCCCTGGCCCACACGCTTCACGTGTGCAAGCCCTGGGGCTGTGCTGTCACCAACGTGGCCCCTCCTGGGAAGGACGTCCATGGCCCTCGATGATTGTGAGGCACGTGCATCCCACACACAGGGTTTCCTGTTCTTTCATCATTTCCTTCTCTCTTTCAACAACTGTTTTTCTTACTGGATTGAATCTCCTTACTGTTATATCTTCACGTCTTGTTTTCACAGTCTCGGGGCTGAAAATGATCACAGGTCAATGTTCCAAATGGAACCTCCCTGTTCTATTGGGTAATTCCCAACAGGCCCCATACATGGGAGATTAGGATAAAACTGTCACATACATTAATTCATTGATTACTGGGAAAACCCTACAAAGCAGGAATCTTTACTTTCTTCTCCTCCTGGGAAATTGAGGTGGGGAGCATTCAAGTAATGGATGTAAGATGGAACTGCTAAGAAGAGGCAGAATGAGGACTGGAATCCAGACAGCCTGGCTCCCGAACCCTTGTTCTTACCTATGGGTCCCCCATTTCTTCAGGAATATGATGACCTGACTGTGCCAGGGTGGGCGGGAGGCCCAAGTCTTCTATTTGACCTCTAACCTCCTGCACCATGACGATCTGTTACAGGAGGGGAGGCCACACCTGGTTCTGCCCCTCTCACCCACTGTAAATTTCTTGGCAGGTGCCACACACACAGCCTGTGTCATTGTCTGTTGGTTCTTGTGTGACAATCAAAGGGACACCGATCATCTCTTTCATGTGAGTTCTCCACGGTCCATGGCAGGGGGCTGGAGAAGAAAGAATATTTGCAAAAGGGCTGACCTCATGTGTGAGTGAGGCAGAAATGTCTAGTTGGCAGGATGGAGGCACCGTGCACGTGCAGGTCCTGGAGACCCTGCAGCACCTGGCATGAAAGCTGCAGTGGCTGCACTGTGAGCCAGTCATGGGGCCTAGGGGAGGACATTCAGGGCATTGGGACTGTGGCTCTTTATCAAGAGACAGAAGTTTCATGAAATTGACAACTCATAGGCCCAGGTTAGTGCCTGTGGCTGAGTTTACAGCTTGGGATGAGGGAGCTCTTAAGAGCAGGAGGAGCTGAAGCAGCTCCACAGGGAGGAGGCCTGCCATGTCAGCAGGAAGTCTTCTGTCTGCCCTGGGAAAGCGGGGAAGGGATTTGCGTGTGTGTCCAGTGTGTGCCCCACAAGGGAAGGACCTGCCCAACATTCTGTGTGCTTTAACCTCAGCAAGGACCCGCAGCTGCAGGTGGATTTCCACACTGGGATGAATGAGGACTCAGACATCGCCTTCCATTTCTGAGTGTACTTTGGCCATTGGGTGGTCATGAACAACCGTGTGTGTGGGGCCTGGCAGCATGAGGTGACATGCCACAATATGCCCTTTGAGGATGGCAAACCGTTTGACCTGTGCATCTCGGTGCGGGACAATGAGTACCAGGTGAGCACCCAGGAGCTCCCAGCACCCGGCCTCCATGGGCTCCCAGAGCAGGAGGCAGCTCCTTCTGAGCTGGTCCCATCTTGGGGTCCATCACCCATAACTGCGCCTGCCCCAGGTTTTTGCTCACAGAGCACCCTCTGCTTGCACTGCCATCCTCAGCTCTTCCAAATCTGACCAGGGTCAAGGGTGGCTCACCTGCCATGTTCCCCAACGTGGTGAATCTTCTCTGTCTTCACCCACAGTTCTCATTTTCACTTATGCTTTTACTTATATTTTCATTCAGCCAAATGGATAAAATAAGTGTATGAATAAGGTTGTTTTATCATCCACAATGGAGTCTCTCAGTCCTGAACCTCAATCCTACCCCCAGAAACAACAGTATTAGTTGAAGAGGTACTGGACCATGCTAATTGGGAGGAGGAGACCCTTTATGGGCTATAGCCTCTGGGGCAGGGATTCCATGGGGCACCTTCACACGTGCAACCCACTTAGTCCTTCCATAACCATGTGGGTGAGCATGGCCTTTCCTGCTTTACCCATGATGCAATACCCAGGGCCTGTTGCTTCTTAAAGGGTCTTTGAAAAGATCTAAGCATAGATTTCAGAGACAACCTATGCTTATGGACATATATAGAACTGTGGTTTCATTTCTTTTTAAACCAATGCTGTTTTAAGTTTCTCACACATTACACTTTAGGAACTGGGGTGGATTTGTTGTCAAACAATATATATGTAGGAGCAATCATCCATTTGTGCTGCTGCCCCAGTTTTTCAACATGGTACAATATTTCTGTAGAAGAGTTACCCAAAATTATTCAAACTTGATGCTTTTGATGAGCATTACGCTATTTTCAGTATTTTGCTCTCACAAATTAATCTTTCTAATCTACTTTTTGTCATAATAAAACTCCCAATTTCTACATTGGAGGACAGTTACAAAGAAATAAAATAGGTCAAAATTGTGTACATTTTAAATTTTATAAATTAACACCTAAAAGGTGACCATCTCTATAGTTTTAGTAATAAATAAATATTTTCAACCTCCCCAACCTTTTCAAATGGGTAGACCCAAAGATTAACATTTTGTTCATATTTAAGTGAGAGAACTTTTTCACATGCCTATGAGCTGTTCATAATAATATCCTGTGTTTGGCAACACCCGTTTTGTTTCTCCTTTCTGAAAACATTTGGATTTTATCCTCTGCCACCATCATTACAGCTCTGGGTAACTCCAAAGAGAAACAGGACCATCAGCAGTCACAGTGAATGGGAATTAGAGTTTGTGGAACTGAAATGTATGCACTCAGTAAACTTGGTCCAGCACTAACCCCATGGCAGGGCCTGTGCAAGACGCAGGGATTGACATTCATGAGAGACAGTCCCTGGCTACGGGGATTTTCCAGGTGAGAGGAGCGTGCTGAGCAAACAGGTTCTGTGATATGCAGAGTGGCAAACCCTCCCTGGAAAAATGAGAGAAAACATTGGAAATAAAATGAGCAACTGTCTGAACTAGGCACGAAGGTAGTCTGTAGACAGAAGTGTGTCTACTGGGTTCTGATGTATACTTAGGAGTTTTCTGATTGGATGCTGTAGGCACTAGGGCTGACTGAAGATAAGGCTGAAAGTTCATTTAGTGGCACCCTGTATTTTTAATGCATTTTTCCTCTTGTAGGTACTGGTAAACGGCCAACACAGTTACAGCTTTGCCCATCGACTCCCACCGTGTTATGTGAAGATGGTACAAGTATGGCGGGATGTCTCCCTGACTTCCATGTGTGTCTGCAATTGAGGGTGATGTCCACACTCCCTGCTGTTGAGGAACCACAGGAACTCCTCATTTGCGACCATGGAATTCCCAGAGCCTGCTAACAGAATGATCTCTCCTTATGCCTTCCTCTACCCTTGGTCATTAAAATTTCACCAAATTTTTCATCATCTGGTTTTAATTTCAATGGGGAAAAAGACAAAGTGGCACAAGGACACAAGAGACACAAGCAGTGTCACAAGGCCACTGGAGTGTCTGAGATGACAAAATGAACATCTTCTACAACCCATATTTTATGTCAGACACTATAAACCAAAATTCTTCCTTCATCTTAGATGTGTCATTGCAGTGACGTGTTAGGTATCTGTTTACAACCACACAGGCATAACTGGTTTTGGGGACAAACTTCAAGTGAAATACCTTAATTCTTCACTCATTCTAAGAATATGTCTTGTGTCTCAAAACTGCTTGGATTCGTGTGGGATGCACTGAAGGAATTAAAAGAAAATGTTGAGAAAGTTTACATCGGAAGTTTTCAATCCAAGCAATAGTTAGAGAACCACAGTTCAATGATTTCCTTTAAAGAATCCAGTTTTGTTTTTCAAAAGAATTTTCAGGTTTTTCCATTTTATGTGGGCAGCATCCTGAGCTTTCTCTTTGTAAACAAATGGTCGTGGTTTTACCTCAGAAAAGAAGTGATTTCTTAGTGGAATGGACACAACTCCTATGCATGGACACACTGAACACACCTGCTCTTCTGCTGTTACTGTTGGCATTACAGCACAGCAAAGCTCCCAACACACGTTGGCTTAAATCTATCATTTATTCTGATTTCTGTCAGCTTTGTAGGTTTGGTGCACTCATGTAGGTGACAGATCATGCGGTGCGTGTCTTGATTTCAGAAAGATCTATTGTCAGAGATTTTGGAAGATGCTTCAGTCATGTCTAACTCAACACTAGGGTGGCTGAACACCTGGGGTCTGGCTGGTTATTTTCTTCTCTTCCTCACCTTCTCATTAGTGCCTTGAATTTCCTGAACTCATGATGGTACCATAGTTATTCAACTTAATCAATGATTGGCTTCCACCAAAAAAAGGCTTCCAAAAGTCTCAGGAAGAAGGTGCCAGGCATCATAGGCCTTAGCTTTGAAAGGCAGGCAGTGTGACTTCTATGACAGTATATTGATCATGGTGTCACACAGACAGCTCAAATTAAGGGGAGGGAATTCTACAAACCGTGGTCCTTTTGACTTGTCATCATAATGGGGCCATTTTTGGAAACGAGTTCCACTTAGCCCCCACTGGCTCATACGGTTTCCACATACCAAAAACGCTTATGTTTTAAAAAGCCACAGAAACCAATACAATACAGGAACAGGCTTCCAGTCAAGTGCAGTATTCTTTTCTTTTCACCTCTGAACTTTTTTTTTTTTTGAGATGGAGTTTCGCTCTTGTTGCCCAGGCTGGAGTGCAATGGCGCGATCTCGGCTCACCGCAACTTCCGCCTCCTGGGTTCAGGCAATTCTCCTGCCTCAGCCTCCTGAGTAGCTGGGATTACAGGCATGTGCCACCGTGCCCAGCTAATTATTTTTTATTTTTAGTAGAGACGGGGTTTCACCATGTTGACCAGGATGGTCTCGATCTGTTCACCTCGTGATCCACCCGCCTCGGCCTCCCAAAGTGTTGGGATTACAGGCTTGAGCCACTGCGCCCGGCCTCACCTCTGAACTTTTTATTGGCCTCCTGCTCCTCAAAGGGTCTTTTGGTTCTGCTGGCTTAATGTCTCAGAACTTTGATGTCAGTCTCAGACACCACTTGGTCTCAGACCGGCGGTTGGTGGCTTCTGGATGGTTTGCATGGATTTGCTGCTATCCAGGGCATCACCAAGATTGAACTCTTCACCATCTTCCAGCAGACGGTGGTAGGTGGCGATCTCAGCCTCCAGCCTGACCTTAATGTCCAGCAGGGCTGCGCACTCCTGGGCCTGGTACTGTCCCTCTGCCCGGGCCTGTGCCAGCTCTGACTCCAGGTGCAGAAGGATCCCGTTGAGCCACTCCACCTGCAGGGCGTAGTTGGCCTTCACCTCCCTCAGACTGTTCTCCAAGCTGGGCTTCAGATTTCTCGTGGAGTCCAGGTCAATCTCCAAAAACTGGACCGTATGTCTCAGCTCCATGAGTGCCGTCTCAGCAGCTCCAACCTCGGCGGACTGCGTGGTGACCTCTGTGGTGCTCTTCTCAATCTGTTGAGACCGATACTTGTCCAATTCTTCTGGATTCTTCCGATCCAGCTCGTCATATGGAGCCTGATGTCTGCCATGATCTTAGCGAGGTCCTGAGATTTGGGGGCATCTACCTCCACAGTCAATCCAGAGCTGGCAATCTGGGCTTGTAAGCCTTTTACTTCCTCTTCATGGTTCTTCATGAAGAGTAGCTCCTCCTTGAGAGCCTCAATCTCTGTCTCCAGCTGCAGCCACGTGACATTGGTGTCATCAATGACCTTGCAGAGCCCATGGATGTTGCTCTCCACAGACTGGCACATGGCCAGCTCTGTCTCATACTCGACTCTAAAGTCATCAGCAGCAAGATGGACATTGTTGATCTGCAGAATGATGCGGGTATTGTCCATGGTATTTGCAAAAATCTGAGCCCTCAGGTCCTTGATGGTCTTGAAGTCATGGCTCCAGTCTCTGACCTGGGATTCCTTCTTCAGGTGCTCCCAGATTTTGCCCTCCGACTTCCTGTTCTCCAGCTCCAGGCTCCTCACTATGTCCAGGTAGGAGGCCAGGTGGTCGTTCAGGCTTTGCATGGTCTCCTTCTTGCTCTGGATGCCTCACATTCCTGCCAGACCCCCGGCCATCTCTGTGGCTAGGTCTCCAGACCCTGTGCCACCCTGGAAGCTGGTGAAGCAGGACATGAACATGCAGGAACCAGAGCCCCCAGCGCCTGCATAGACAGTGGCTGTGCAGCTGACCTGCTGGGCGCCAAAGCTGGGCACTTAGACGGAGCCCAGGGACCGGAGTTGGTGTAGAAAATGGAGCAAGTGGTGAAGCGCATGTTGTCTGGGCAGGAGAGTGAGAGGACAAGAGTCAGGTTTGCCAACAACTGAAGTTCAGTATCTTATTGTCTAAATCAGGACCTGGTGTTCATGAGGTGAGTACAAATTATCAGGTGCACTTTCTCTCAACATGTTCAGTAAAGATATTTGTATATCTGCTGTATAAAAATCCAACAAACAATCCTGAAACAGACAGGAAAAATGCAATGAACAAATCTATTTTACAGTGGCAACAGGAAACAGACAGCAGTCATTGGTTTATATCATTGCTGAAACCAGCCAGATACCTATTTTTATTTCTTTGGAGAGTTTGTCTGCAGCAACTGGCTCCTCCCTCCATTCTCAACTTCTCGGTATTCCTACCAAGATGGCCGAATCACAGTACTTTTCCCTCTACAAAAGCCGTGATTATCTGCTTTGCTGCACATCTGGAGAACCACTTAGGAGAAAACAATGTATTGCCTATGAACTAATGAATGCAAATTAAAGAGGTTTCCATCAAATGACCTCTTCTTCCACGGGACGCAATAATTACTAAAATTGTACCCTTTCCACTCAATAATTATTAAAATCACACCCTTTCCCCATAAATAGAGACAACATAACTTTGGGAGTAATTCAATAGGAGTTCACAATGATTCTGAATATGAAAATGCTTGTTTATCTACATGGAGAAGTGAGAATTAAGCAAATGTGACAAACAGTATTAAAAAACAGAAGCGATATGACACAACATGGTTTTGCTGCTACATTAATATGTCATTATTTTGGAAGCACAGAATGAGATAAGAAGTTCTCAGAAGAAGCATCATCAAGGCCAGATTTCTATTAGAAAAACCTGGAATGCCAATATAAAAGATTTGCACTCTGTTCTGAAAATATCTGTGAGCTCTGGGAAGCTACAAAAGAGGAAAGTATCTGGATCATCTTTTGACAACAGAAACTACCTACTAAATGGAATAAAGAATGAATACTAAGTGTCTACCCCACCTGAAAATTCAATGCAAATTTTTCTGTCGTGTGGAGAGAAATGTTGATGAGGGAGTTGGGGATGCCAACTTAATGGGAACAGGCATAGAGAGGATGCTGAAAATATGTGTGTGAAGAGAGTACAGAAATGAGTGTGTAAGCAAATAGGCCGAGTTACGACTGCAAGAACTAAGAGGACATTATTTCTCGTGGATCTTTGTGATATTTCCTCCCATTCCCTTTGGTGGTTGCTACGTTTTGAATCTATGCCCCAAAGTTCATGTGTTGGAAAGCTAATGCCAGTGCAAGTGTTCTGCGGTGGGATGAAATACAAGGTAATTATGTCATGAGGGCTCTACACTACAATGAGATCAATGCCCTTTTCACCGGATTGGGTCAGTCATTGTGAGAGTAAGTTTATTATAAAAGCAAGTGTGGCCCGATCTTGCTCTCTCGATTTTTTTCACTCCTTGCCCTTCCTCTTTCTGCCATGAAATGATGCAGAACAAAGGCCCTGGAAGCATGCTAGCACTATGTTCATAGATAATCCGGCCTCCAGAATTGTGCCAAATAACTTTCTATTTGTTATAAGTCAGTCTGTTCTGGCAGCACAGCATAGGCTAAGGTGGAGGTAAAGGCCTGGCTCCTTAAACGGAGCCTTTTTGCAAGGTAGTCTAGACCATAACAGGCACTCACCTTCAGCTAAGCATTTATTTTGAGGATAGTGAACTACAGGGAAATGAAAACAGAATCTAAGCTTTCTTTAATGACTCTGTATTGGTGACAGCAGAAAGTGTTCTCACTCATAGGTGGGTGTTGAACAACGAGAACACATGGACACAGGGAGGGGAGCACTACACACTGGGGTCTGTTGGGGAAAATAGGGGAGGGACAGCGGGGGGTGGGGAGTTGGGGAGACATAGCATGGGGAGAAATGCCAGATATAGGTGAAGGGAGGAAGGCAGCAAATCACACTGCCACTTGTGTACCTATGCAACTATCTTGCATGTTCTTCACATGTACCCCAAAACCTAAAATGCAATAAAAAAAAAAGTGTAATATGGAGAGTGTGAGTTGTGATGGGAGTCATGGTTGGAAAGAAAGAGACCAAGAAGTGTTTCCTGGACACTGAGAAGTGTCTTCTATCTCATGGTGACCTCTTCCCCAGCATAGCTGATTAAAGCATGTATCTCTGTTTCTCAAGATATAGGCATGTTGATGAGGAAGAGTGTTCATGTAAGTCGTGAAAAAAGTAACAACGTCGGATCCAAGATATGTAATGTCTAAAAGTGACTTTATAAGTGTCTGTTTTAATGTGTCACAAGTATAACCACTTTAAGAAACGAGAATAATCAAAACGGTGTGGTGCTGGCTTAAGGGCAGATGTAGAAATCAATCAAATACAAAGGAGAGCCAAAAAGTAAACATGTACATAGGTGGTCATTTTCTTTTCTTTTTTCTTTTTTTGTCTTTTGTTTTGTTTTTGTTTTTGAGACGGAGTTTTGCTGTTGTTACCTAGGCTAGAGTGCAGTGGTGCGATCTCGGCTCACTGCAACTTCCGCCTCCTGGGTTCAAGCAATTCTCCTGCCTCAGCCTCCTGAGTAGCTGGGACTACAGGCGTGCACTACCATGCCCAGCTAATTTTTGAATGTTTAGTAGAGACAGGGTTTCACCTTGTTGACCAGGATGGTCTTGATCTCTTGACCTTGTGATCCACCCACCTCTGCCTCCAAAAGTGCTGGGATTATAGGCATGAGCCACTGTACCCGGCCTATTTTTTTTTTTTTTAAAGACAGGGTTTTACCATGTTGGTCAGGCTGGTCCTGAACTCCTGACCTCAGGTGGTCCACCTGCCTTGGCCTCCAAAGTGCTTGGATTACAGGCGTGAGGCACCACACCCAGCCGGTAGTCACTTTCAACAAGGGTAACAGGATGCTTTTATTGGAAAAGGACAATCATTTCAACCAATGATTTTTGGGAAGCTGGATATACACATGCACAAAGATGCAGTTGGGCCCTTACCATAATCCCCATACAAAACTTAACTCAAAATGTATCACACAATAAATGTAAGATCTATAACTTTAATATTTTTTAGAAAAACCATAGAAGAACCATAGAAGAATATTACATGACATGGGATCTTGAATATGACACCAAAAGAGCAAGAAACAAAGAAACAACAGATGAAATTAATTTCACCAAAATTTGGGTAGGCTTTGCAAGATGGCAGAATAAAAGGCTTCACCGCTACAAAAAAAATAAAATACCTTGGAATACAACTCACAAGGAACATAAGAGACCTCTTCAAGGTGAACTACAAACCACTGCTCAACGAAATCAGAGAGGACACAAACAGATGGAGAAACATTCCATGTTCATGGTTAGGAAGAATTAATATCGTGAAAATGGCTATACTGCCCAAAGTAATTTACAGAATCAACGCTATCCCCATCAAGCTACCATTGACTTTCTTCACAGAACTGGAAAAAACCACCATGAACTTCATATGGAACCAAAAGAGAGCCCGCATAGCCAAGTCAATTCTAAGCAAAAAGAAACAGCGGGGGGCATCACACTACCGGATTTCAAACTATACTACAAGGCTACAGTAATCAAAACAGCATGGTACTGGTACCAAAACAGAGATATAGACCAATGGAACAAAACAGAGGCACCAGAGGCAACACAACATATCTACAACTATACAATCTTTGATAAACCTGACAAAAACAAGCAAGGGGGAAAGGATTCCCTGTTTAACAAATGGTGTTGGGAAAACTCGCTAGCCATGTGCAGAAAGCAGAAACTGGACCCCTTCCTGACACCTTACACTAAAATTAACTCCAGATGAATTAAAGACTTAAACATAAGACCTGGCACCATAAAAACCCTAGAAGGAAATCTAGGCAAAACTATCCAGGACATAGGAGTAGGCAAGGACTTCATGAACAAAACACCAAAAGCATTGGCAACAAAAGCCAAAATAGACAAATGGGACCTAATGAAACTCCACAGCTTCTGCACGGCAAAAGAAACAGTCACTAGAGTGGATCAGCAACCAACAGAATGGGAAAAAATTTTTGCAGTTTACCCATCTGACAAAGGGCTGATATCCAGAATTTACAAAGAACTCAAACAGATTTACAGGAAAAAAACAAACAAGCCCATTCAAAAGTGGGCAAAGGATATGAACAGACACTTTATGAAAGAAGACATATATGAGGCCAACAATCATATGAAAAAATGCTCATCGTCACTGGTCATCAGAGAGATGCAAATCAAAACCACATTGAGATACTATCTCACACCAGTTAGAATGGCGATCATTAAAAAATCTGGAGACAACAGATGTTGGAGAGGATGTGGAGAAAAAGGAACACTTTTACACTGTTGGTGGGAGTGTAAATTAGTTTAACCATTGTGGAAGTCAGTGTGGCGATTCCTCAAGGCCTTAGAAATAGAAATTCCATTTGACCCAGCAATCCCATTACTAGGTATATATCCAAAAGACTATAAATCGTTCTACTATAAGGACACATGTACACGAATGTTCATTGCAGCACTGTTTACAATAGCAAAGATCTGGAATCAACCCAAATGCCCACTGATAATAGACTGGATTGGAAAAATGTGGCACATATACACCATGGAATATTATGCAGCAATCAGAAATGATGAGTTTGTGTCGTTTGTAGGGACTTGGATGAATCTGGAGAACGTCATCCTCAGCAAACTGACACAAGAACAGAAAATGAAACACCGCATATTCTCACTCATAGGCGGGTGATGAAAAACGAGAACACATGGACACAGAAAGGGGAGTACTAAACACTGGGGTCTATTGGGGGAAAAAGGGGAGGGCCAGTGGGAGGGGGAGGTAGGGAGGGATAGCCTGGGGAGAAATGCCAAATGTGGGTGAAGGGGAGAAGGAAAGAAAAGCACACTGCCATGTGTGTTCCTACGCAACTGTCTTGCATGCTCTGCTCATGTACCCCAAAACCTAAAATCCAATACAAAATTAAAAAAATAAAATAAAATAAAAGCCTTCACCAATCTCACCCACACCCCTGAAGGATGTGAATTTAACAAATATCTATACAGGAAAACACCTCCATATGAATCAAAAAGCAGCTGAGTCCTCAGAGATACCTGGTTTTAACTCTATATCACTGAAAGAGATAGAAAAAACAGTCTTGAATTGCCAATGCCACTCCTTCATCTGGGCAGCAGTGCTGTGGCGTGGAGTCTCTGGGTACTGGGGGAGGGAGAGCACAGCAATTGTGAGGCACTGGAGTCATTGCTGTCCTGTTACAGAGGAAGAGAAAATTAGATTAAGCTCAGCTGACACACACTAATGAAGGGAGCATTTAAGCCAGCCCTAGCCAGAGGAAAATCCCTGATCTTAGCAATTGAAACTTGACTTCCTGTAAACCTTACCAGTAAGGGCTACAGTGCTCTGGGTTTCCAAATAACGTTGAAAGACAGTCGAGGTCATAAGGACAGAATCTCTTAGGTGAGTCTTGGGGATTAACTCAGGCCAGAGACAGTGGACTGGGCATCAGGGGGTCTGGAGACCTGCTGAGACAGCAGCTTGGGTGACTAATGGAGTGCTGGCAGTACCTTTCCCCTAACTCCAGGATGCACAGCTGTGGCTCCAAAAGAGACCCCTTCCTTTCACTTGAGGAGTGGAGAGGAGAGAGAGCAGTGGGGAAGACTTTATTTTACATCTCGGATATCAGCTCAGCCACAGCAGGATAGGGTACCAGTCAGAGTCATGAGGCCCCCATTCCAGGCCCTAGCTCCCAGATGAGCTTTCTAGACACAGCCTGGACCAGAAGGGAACGTGCTGCCCTTAAAGGAAGGACCCATTCCTGGAAGGATTTATCACCTGCTAATGAAGAGCTCTTTGGCTCTGAATAACCACCAGCAATACCCAGGCACTATGCGGAGGGCCTCTGCTGAGTCTCCGAGATCTGCTGGCTTCTGATGGGACTCAGCACATGACTTGCTGTGGTGGCTATGGGCAATACGTTTTCCCCTTGGTAAAAGTAGAGAAAAAGCTAAAAGGGAGTTTGCCTTGCACCTTAGGTACCAGCATAGCCAGAAGGGAGTAGAGCACCAGGCAGGCTCTTGGGGTTCCTAATTCCAGGACTTGGTTCTTGAATGACATCTATTTACCTGCTCTGGGCCAGAGGGGAGTTCACTCCCCTGTGGGGTGAGTCCAAGGCCAGGCAGCATTCACTATAAGTTGACTTAAGTGCCCTTGGGCCTTAAGGGAACATCTGTGGTAGTCTGGCAGTACTCTCTATGGTGGTGGTGGCTATGGGGTGACAACTGCCTTTGGAAATGACGGGGAGAGTAGAAAGAACTGAATCTTGGGGTTTGAGTGTACAATAAAACACCACAAAGACCTCTAAGATTTTTTACTTTAGTCCTTGACTTCCAGGTGGCACCTCTGGAACCACCCCAGGCCTGTGGGAACTCACCACCCTGAAGAAAAGCACACAGAAGTGGCTGGCTTTGCTGCATGCTAATTCTAGAGCCTTAGGGCTCTGTGCCTTGAGTGAACCTAGGCTGTAAGCAGGTATTGGTTACAGCAGGCCTTCAGGGGGACCCAGTGCTGTGCTCACTTTAGGTAAGATCAAGTCATAGTGGTAGTGGCCACAGTGGTGCTTGTCTCACTCCATCCCCAGCTTTAGGTGTCTCAGAAGACACACACACACACACAGACACACACACACAGACACGCACACACACAGACACACACACACACACAGACACGCACACACACACAGACACACACACAGACACGCACACACACAGACACACACACAGACACGCACACACACAGACACACACACACACACACGCTGTATGTTTGGGAGAAAGAAAGGGAAAAGAATAAGAAGCTCTGCCTTGTAATCCAGAGAATTCTCCTGTTAGATCACAACACTCAAGTCCTTTTGAATACGTGAAAGCCTTCCCCAAAAGGACAGGTACAAACAAGCCCAGACAGTGAAGACCACAACAAATACCTAACTATTTAATTCTCAGACACTGAAGGACATCTGCTAGTGTCAACAACATCCAGGAAAGCGTATAAACCAAATAAGCACCAGGGAGAAACAGGTAAGTGACCTTTCAGACCGAAAATTCAAATTAGTGATGTTAAGAAAGCTCAAAGAAATTTAAGATAACGCAGAGAAGGAATTCAGAATTTTATTAGATAAGTTTAACAAAGAGGTTGAAATAACTAAAAGGAATCCAACAGAAATTCTGGAGCTGCAAAATGCAGCTATAAAAAGGAATGAGATCATGTCCTTTGCAGGGGCATGGATGAAGCTGAAAGACATTATTTTCAGCAAATTAGCACAGGAACAGAAAACCAAACAATGCATGTTCTCATTCATAAGTGGGAGCTGAACAGTGAGAACACATAGACACAGGGAGGGGAACAACACACACTGCAGCCTGTTGAAGGGCAAAGGGAGGGGGAGCATCAGGACAAATAGTTAATGCATGCGGGGCTTAATACCTAGGTGACAGGTTGACAGGTGCAGCAAACCACCATGGCACATGTTTACCTATGTAACAAATCAGCACATTCCGCACAGGTATCTCAGAACTTAAAGTAAAATAAAATTCAAAAAATGCAATTGGCATACTGAAGAATGCATCAGTCTTTAACAGCAGAACTGATCAAGCAGAAGAAAATATTAGCGAGTTTGAAGACAGCCTATTTGAAAATACATAGCCAGAGGAGACAAAAGAGGAAAGGATAGAAAACAACAAAGGCAGTTGTCACCCCATAGCCACCACCACCATAGAGAGTACTGCCAGACTACCACAGATGTTCCCTTAAGGCCCAAGGGCACTTAAGTCAACTTATAGTGAATGCTGCCTGGCCTTGGACTCACCCCACAGGGGAGTGAACTCCCCTCTGGCCCAGAGCAGGTAAATAGATGTCATTCAAGAACCAAGTCCTGGAATTAGGAACCCCAAGAGCCTGCCTGGTGCTCTACTCCCTTCTGGCTATGCTGGTACCTAAGGTGCAAGGCAAACTCCCTTTTAGCTTTTTCTCTACTTTACCAAGGGGAAAACGTAAACATGACTTTAGGATCTAGAAAATAGCTTCCAAAGCACAAACCTAAGAATTATTGTCCTTAAAGAAGAAGTAGAGAAAGAAATAGTGGTAGAAAGTTTACTCAAAGGGATAATAACAGAAAACTTCCCAAACTAAGAAAAGGAGATCAACATCCAAGTCCAAGTGGGTTGTAGAACACCAAGCTGACTTAAACCAAAGACGACTACCTCCAGCCACTTAGCAATCAAAATTTTAAAGGTCAAGGGCAAAGGAAAGATCCTAAAAGCCCAAGAGAAAAAAAATAGCATACAATGCAGCTGCCACACATTTGCCGGCCGACTTCTTAGTGGAAACACACAGAATACTGTAGCACTGTAACTGTGGTGTGTGAACTACTCATATCCTAAATAGAAAGATGAAACAATCAACCAATACAAATAGTAACTACAACTTTTGAAGATATAGACAGCACAAGATATAAGTAGAAACAACAAAAAGTTAAACAGCAGGGGAATGAAGGTCAGTTGTAGAGTTTCTATGAGTTTTCTTTTTGCTTGTTTGTTTATGTAAGCAGTGCCAAGTAGTTATCTGGTTAAAATAATGAGTTATAAGATAGTATTTGCAAGCCTCATGGTCACCTTCAACCAAGAAATATATAATGGATGCACAAAAAATAAAAAATAAGAAACTAAACTATATCACCAGATGAAATAATCTTTAGTAGGGGAAGACAAGAGGGAGCAAAAGAAGAGAAGACCAAAATACAACCAGACATCAAATAACAAAATAGCAGGACTAAGTCTTTACTTACTTATTGATGATAACATTAAATGTAAATGAACTAGACTCTCCAATCAAAATACACAGAGTGTCTGAATGGGTGAAGAAACAAGAGCAATCGATCTGTTGCCTGCAAGAAACACACTTCACCTATAAAAGCACACGTAGACAAGAGAAAAGAATAGAGAAAGATACTGCATGCCACTGGAAATGAAACAAGAACAGGAGTAACTATACTTATATTGGACAAAAATAGATTTTGAGAGAAAAACTCTGAGACAATAAGGTTAATATATAATGACAAAGGCATCAATTCAGTAAGAGGATATAATAATATATGTGCACCCAACACTGGAGCACCCCGGTATATAAAGTATTATTAGAGCTAAAGAGAGAAACAGGCCTCAATACAATAATAACCGGAGATTTCTACATTTCGCTTCCAGCATTGAACAGATCTTCCAGACAGAACATAAACAAAGAAACTTAATCCATTCAAGAAAGGGCAATCACTGTGTGTCTATCTAAGAGGGCCAACACGTGGGACTGTGCAAACTATTCAAATGCAGTAGCCACTACCCAAGGGAAAAGTCTATATGAAATTAAAGTCATATAGACTGATTAGTAAGCCATGGGTCCCAGGATTCTTTTCATCCACTCAGATCAAGAATCGCTTAATTCCACAAAAAATGAATTCCATACAGGTGATGAGGCCTATGATCTATTAACAAAATAGAGAAGTGAACAACACTGAGACCAGAAAGGTGTAAGGAGGAGAGTGTATTTAAACCACACCCGAGTGTCCAGTGAGAGGAGGGAATTTTATTACATATGGGAATGAAAGTTGGAAGAAAGGCATGAAGAGAACTTACTGTGTGTTGGCACCTGAAGGTATCCAGATGCTAGGTTAAATGAGGGTAAGGAAAGGGGCATACCCATGAGGAAGGCTGGTGGTGAACAAGCTGTGGCAATGAACACGTGAAAAGAAGATAAGGATAATGAAAATGAAGCCTGGGATGGGCCATGTGGAAAAAAGGGCTATTTGACAGGACCTTCTTCAAACATCCTTCATTAGTTTGTAGGTAACGTGTTGTTTCTCCTACATGGTCCTCCAGATTTGCTGTGAAGCAGATGATCATAGCTCTTGAGAAGTAAAAAGGACTGTCATTCTGCCATCTTGGTAGAAACTCTAAGAAGCTGAGAATAGAGGGTGGAGCCAATTGCTGCAGAGAAACATTCCAAGATAAAATAATAAATAGGTGTCTGGCTGGTTTAAGCAATAACATGGCCCAGTGACTGCTGTCTATTTTCTTTTGCCCCTCTTCAAAGAATTCTTTTTCTTATTTTCTTGTCCTTTTGATGTAAAATTCTTTTTCTTCTCTTTTTCAAATAATGCTTACAATAGATGTGTGAATTGCATTCTTCTGATGTCTGTTTCAGTATTGCATGTTTGATGTGTATAGCATCAATAATTTGACCCATTAGTGCATATGTTCAGAGAAAGTACACCTGGTAATTTGTAGTCACCTCGTGGACACCAGGTCCTGATTAGATGATAAGACGCTGGACTTCACTCTGAGCCTTTTCCTATAATGGTATTGCTTTCCATAGTTGTTTACAGGGTTACTGCTCTTGGTGTGTGAACAGTATGTAAGCCAGTGAAGACTGAGTGGAACTTGGTTCCAAAAACGACCCCATTATGACAAATAATCAAAACAACCACAGCTTGTGGAGCCCCCTCCCCTTGATTTGAGCTGTCGGTGTGACTCATCTTGGTCAATATAATGTCATAGAAGTAACACTGTCCAATTTTCAAAGCCAAGACCTATGATGCCTTGCACCTTCTTCTTGGGTTTTTTGAAAGCCTTTCTTTGGTGGAAGACAGTCATCATTGATTAAGTCCAACAACTATGAGGTCTTCATGATTTCAGAAAATTCAAGACACTAATTCGGAGGGGAGATAGGGAAGGAGATCACCAGCTAGCCCCCAGGTGTTCACCCACCCTTAGTGTGAAGTCAAAACAAGTGAAGAATCCCCTGGGATCCCAGCCTGTAGATCCTTCAGAAAATGTGACTCTCACCACATGACCTACCACTCACATGAGCCCAGTAAACCTGCAAAGCTGGAGAGATCAGAATAAATGATTACTTTATGAAAATATGTGTTGGGAAGGTTTCCTATGCTGTAATGCCAACCGTAGCAGCAGCAAAGCAGGGTCAGCTCCCTGTGTCCATGTGAATGAATTGTGTTCATTCCAGCAATAAACTACATATTTTCTGATCTACAACTATGATAATGTATCTCTAAAAAGGAGTCCCAGGATTCCGCCCACATAAAATGGAAAAATCTGGCAGTTCTTTTGAAATATGACAAAAGGTGCTTCTTTGAGGAAATCATTGAACTCCAGTGATTCTCTCTGTTTTGGATTGAAATTTTCAAGTACAGGCCAAGCACAGCAGCTCACATTTGTAATGCCAGCAACTTGGGAGGGTGACGTGGGTGGACTGCTTAACCTCAGGAGTTTGACACCAGCTTGGGCAACATGGCAAACCTCCATCTCTATAAAAAATGCAGAAATTAGCTGGGCACGGTGGTGAACACCTGTGGTTTCACCTATTTGGTGGAATGAGGCAGGAGAATTTTTTGAGCTCAGGAGGTTGAGGCTGCAGTGAGCCTTAATGGCACCAGTGCACTCCAGCCTGAATGACAGAGTAAAACCTTATCTCGAAAAACAACAATGACAAAATTTCAGGTGCAGATTTGGTTACTTTTTCCTGTGGTTTCTTCAGTATATCCTGTACAAAGTCAGGCACAGTATTCAGACACAATAAACATCCTTAGAATGAGTGAAGAATTAAGATATTTCAACTGACTTTCCTCAAATTGCAGTTTCTCCCCGAAGCCAATTATGCCTGTGTGGTTGTAAACAGCTACCTAACATTTTACTGCAGTGAGTCATCTAAAATGAAGGAATAGTTTTGGTTCAGAGTGTCTGACGTAAATTATGGGCTGCAGAGGATGTTCTCATTATGTCATCTCAGACATTCCAGTGGCCTTGTGACTCACTTATTGTGTCACTTGTGTCCTTGTTTCACTTTGACCTTTTCCCCATTAAAATACAGCCAAATCTTTGAAAATTTGGTGGTTTTAGCGACCAAGTGTAGAGGAAGGGGTGAGGAGTGATCATTCTGTTACCAGAATGCCATGGTCACACAGGAATAGGGATTCCTCAGCAACAGGGAGCGTGGTCATCTTCCTCCATCGAGACACACACTGAGGTCACAGAGACATCTCTACACACTCGCAGCATCCTCATACAACATAGTGGGAGTAGATGGGCAAAGCGGTAACAGTATTTGCTATTTACCATTACCTGTAAGAAAAAAATGCATCAGAAATGCAGTATGCCAACAAACAAGCTTTAAGCATCATCTCCACTCTGCCCTAGTTCTTACAGCACTCAACCAGAAAACTCCTAATTATACATCAGAACCCAGCAGACACACTTCTGTCTACAGACTACCTTTGTGCTGATTTCAGACAGTTGCTCATTTTATTTCCAATATTTTCTCTCATTCTTCCAGGGAGGTTTTGCCACTCTGTGTATCACAGAACCTGTTTGCTGAGTCTCTCCTATCACCTGAAATATTCCCATGGCCAGGGACTGTCTCTCATGAACATCAATATCTGCATCTTGCACAGGGCCTGCCATGGGGTTAGTGCTGGACAGTGTTCATTGAATGCATACATTTCAGTTCCACAAACTATAACTCCCATTCACTATGACTGCTGATGGCCCAGTTTCTCTTTGGAGTTGCTCAGAGCTGTAGGTGGGGGCAAAGAAGGAAATGCAAATGTCTTCAGAGAGGAAGAACAAAACAGGTGTTGCCAAACATAGGATATTTTCCCAAACAACTGACAGGTGTATGAAAAAGATCTCTCATCTAAATAGGAACAAAATGTTAATCTTTGGATCTACCTAATGGAAAAGATTTGGAAGGTTGGAAATGTTTATTTATTTATTACTAAAGCTGTAGAGACAGTCACCTTTTAGGTGTTAATTTATGAAATGTAAAATGTACACAATTTTGAACTAGTTATTTCATTTTTTTTGTACTTACCTTCCGATATAGAAACTGGGAGCTTGCAAAGTGTAGATTAGAAAGCTTTATTTGTGAAAGCAAAATACTGGAAACAGCCTGATGCCCATTAAAAGCATCAAGTTCAGTAATTCTGGGTAACTCTTCTACAGGAATATTGTATAATGTTGAAAAACTGAGGCAGCACCATGGATGGATGATTGCTCTAATATAGTGTTCAGCAATAAATCCACCCCAGTTCCTAAAGTGTAATTTGCAGAGAACCTTAAAACAGCATTGGTTTAAAAAGAAATGAAACCATAGCTCTATATGTGTCCATAAGCATAGACTGTCTCTGGAATTTGAGTAGAAAACTAGTAATACTGTTGTTCTGAGGAATAGGATTGGGGTTTAAAACTGGGAGGAAGACTACATTTTGGACTGATAAAACAACTTTATTCATATGCATATTTTATCTATTTGTCTGAATGAAAATGTAAGTAACAGCATACATGGAAATGGGAACTATGGGTGAAGACAGAGGAGATTCTTCACCTTTGGGAACATGGCAGGTGAGCCAACCTTGACCCTGGTCAGATTTGGAATAAGAGCTGAGGGTGGCAGTGCAAGCAGAGGGTGCTCTGTGAGGAAAAGCCTGGGGCAGGAGCAGTTATGGGAGATGGGTCCTGAGGGACTGGTGGGGCCAGCTAAGGAAGAGCTGCCTCCTGCTCTGGGAGCCCACTGGGGCTGGGTGCTGGGAGCTCCTGGGTTGCTTACCTGGTACTCATTGTCCAGCACAGAGATGTGCAGGTCAAATGGTTTGCCATCCTCAAAGGGTATACTGTGGCACATCACCTCAGACCACCAGACCCCACACACATCGCTGTTCACAGCCACCCCATGACCAAAGTTCACTCGGAAATGGAAGGTGGTATCTGACTCCTCATTCATCCCTGTGTGGAAATCCACTTGCAGCTATGGGTCCTCACTGAGGGCAAAGCCGAGTGTGTTGGGCAGGTGTCTCCCTTGTGGGACATACACCGGACACACACAAAAATTTATTTTCTGCTTTTCCCGGGGCAGATAGAAGCCTTCCTGGTGATACTGCAGACCTCATCCATGGGAGGCTCTTCAGCTCCTCCTGCCCATAAGAGCTCCCTCATCCCAAGGCACTGACCTGGGCTTATGAGTTGTTGATTTCATGAAAATTCAATGTTCCTTGATAAAGAGCCACCGTCCCAATGCCCTAAGTGTCCTCCTCTAGGACCCATGACTGGCTCACAGTGCAGTCACTGCAGGTTTCATGCCAGGCACTGCAGGGTCTCCAGGACCTGCACCTGCACGGTGCCTCCATCCTGCCAACTAGACATTTCCGCATTACTCACACATGAGGTCGGCCCTTTAGCAAATATTCTCCCTTCTCCTCCACCCCCCTGCCATGTACCGTGGACTACTCACATAAAAGAGAGCATTGGTATCCCTCGGATTCTCACACAAGAGCCAATAGACAAGGACACAGGCTGTGTGTACGGACAGCACCTGCCAGGGGTTTGAGAGTGGGTGAGGGGCTGGGCAAGGTGCAGCCTCCCCTCGTATAACAGATTCCTATGGTGTAGCAGTTTAGAATCAATGGACAGACTTTGAGGCCTCCCCCTTCCCACTCTAGCACAGTCAGGGCCCTGCTTTCCTGAAGAAAAGGGGGACCCATAGGTAAAAGCAAGCATTCAGGAGCCAGGCTGCCTGGATTCCAGTTCTGATTCTGCCCCTTATCAGCAGTGCCATGTTAGATCCATTATTTGAACTCTCCCTGACTCAGTTTCACCAGGACAAGGAGGATAAGCAGGGATTTTTACTTTATAGAGTTTGCACACTAACAGATGAATTAATATATGTGAAACTTTTACCCTGATCTCTGCCACGTATAGGGCCTGTTGGGGGTTACTCAGTAGAACAGGGAGAGTCCTTGTGAACACTGACCTGTGATCATTTTAAACTCTGAAACTGTGAAGACAAGACTTGAGGATGTAACAGTAGATAAATTCACGCCAGTGAGAAAAAAAAAATACTTGTTGAAAGAGAGAGAGGGAAACAATAAAATAACATGAAATCCTGTGCGGGAGGTGCATGCATCACAATCATCACAGGCCATGGACGTCCTTCCCGGAAGGGGCCATGTTGCTGAGAGCACAGCCCCGGGACTTGCACACATGAAAAGTTTGGGTCAGGGACATAAATGGAGGGAATGATTGATTTCTGCAATGATGACAAGTGTTTTTTGTGTGTGTTTTTTCGAGACAGGGTCTTGCTCTTTCATCCAGGCTGAAGTACAGTGGTACAATTATAGCTCACTGAAGCCTTGAACTCCTGGGCTGCAGGATCCTCCTGCCTCTGCCTCCTAAATAGCTGGGATGACAGGTGACCAACACTATGCCCATCTGATATTTAAAGTTTTTGACTGAGTCTCACTATAATGCTCAGGCTGGTCTCAAACTTTTGGCTTTAAGTTATTCACCCATTTTGGCTTCCCAAAGTGGTGAGATTGTAGGCATGAGTCAGTGATCCTACACATCTTTCTTTTTCGTTTTCTTTTTTTTCTTTTTTGAGATGGAGTCTCACTCTGTCACCAGGATAGAGTGCAGTGGCATGATCTCAGCTCACTGCAACCTCTGCCCTCTGGGTTCAAGCAATTCTCCTGCCCCAGCCTCCTGCATTTTTCTTATTACTATCCACTGTAAGCTCTGTCTTAACTAAGACTACACTTGTTCCCTGGTTTTGGGTGATCCAGGCTCTGAAACGAGGGCCTCCAATGTTCTTTGCTAGCAAGCCAGGATCTGCCCACCCTACTGTCCTACAATGGGAAGGACAGGCTGTGATGAGGGACAGGAAGAGATGTGAGGCTGGGAGGCAGAAGCCGGTGGTCACTCTGTGCAGACCCCACCTGAGGAACCATCAACCCCATGGTCTGCACTCCTCTTCCCCACACTTATTGGAAAGAGACATCTACAGATCATATATTCTGGTCTCACGAATGGTTGAACGTGAGTCTCAGTAACTCCCAGTTCTCAAATCCCCACCAGTTTTGCCACCCAGGACCAACGTGGACACACAGGGGAGGCTGCACAGCTGCTTCATCAGACGTGCTGCTGTGTGCGGAGGAAACTTCACATGCACAGAAGGCCACGTGCATGTTTCCAGTTCAACACCCAGTCATGTCCCAGCACATACACCCACAGTCGCACACACCTGCTGAACATGAATATACAGATGCTCAAGCACTTGAGCTGTGCTCACACACACACACACACACACACACACACACACACTTCACAGTCATGAAGATAAAGCAACTCACCTTACACTCACTCACACACCTGCCCATTCTGGTGGGTCATCCACCTCCCCCCTAAAGTCACATCATCTCAGCAGAGTTCACTCTCATCAGACACCATCACACACTCAGAGATGGTTACACTGGTCCAGGGTCCACACCCCACACCTCACAAGTATCTCAGATTCCATACTCTCAGGGTCTCTAATCCATAAATATACAACTCTCAGTAAAGCAGTCACAGTAGAAATGCTCACCTTTTCATCTTATAAAATCTAGTGTTTCTTTGTTTATGTGACTTGAGATTATTGAAGGCTGTGCCTTTTCAACTCACCTGTAGCTCTGACATTTTTGCTTCCTCTGGGCAACTTTTCAGAATTCTGTCTGGTCTTCTGTGTGAATCTCTGAGTTGCAGCATTTAAACAGTCCCTGTCAATCATGCCCTCTGACTTCATTTCTGATTCCAGGTTCCTCCCAGCAAGCTTTCCTTGCAGGGTGAGAAAGACTCAGGTATCAGGAAGAAACTCAGTCACAACCAAAGCCGTTTGCAGGTCTGTGTCTGTAGCACACCAAAATGACAGTGGGAGAGGTACCAGGCTGTGGACTGAGTTACCAGGAAATGCATAGACAAGGATGATGGAATGAGGAATCGTGATTGAAAAGCCAAGTCTTTATGCCTCTCAAGCTTTTTCTCCACTGTCAAGAATCTACCTGGAAGATGTACATTTTCCAAATTTGTACAATGGTTAAAAAAATTAAGGTGGGGATTCTTGGAAAAGAGATTAGCTCTAGAAGGTAATCTTTTTTTGTCTTTAAAGATTCTGGGACAGCACTGACCTTGATTCTCAGGGTGATCGGGGAGAGAGGTAGAGAAAGTCCTTGACGAACCTGCCCCACGCTAGGCCCCTTGGCTCTGCCAGGTGAGGGCTGCTGTCATCTGTCTGTCACACGCCTGGGCTCTAGCTATACCCTCTCCTTTCTCTTGGTGTCCATGTGAATCAAAGTTTCAGAGACACTGTTTCTCCTGCAGATTCCAAAGAAAGGTGAGATTTGTTTTTTTCTTTCTTTTTTAAACTTTTATCTTAGATTCAGGGGACGGGTGTAGGGAAACTCGTGCCATGGGGGTATGTGGCACAGATCATTTAATCATCCAGGTACTAAGCCTAGTACCCAATAGTTATTTTTTCTGCTCCTGTCCCACCTTTCACCCTCCAGCCTCAAGTAGACCCCAGTGTGTGTTGTTCTCCTCTTGGTGTCCATGGGCCTTATCATTTAGCACACACTTCTAAGTGAGAACATGCAGTATTTGGTTTTTTGTTTCCACATTTGTTTGCTAAGAAAAATGGCCTCCAGCTCCACCCATATTCCCACAAAAGACATCGTCTCATTTTTTTGAGGCTGCATAGAAGTCTACAGTGTATATGTACCACATTTTCTCTATCCAGTCTGTCCTTCATGGGCATTTAGGTTGATTCTATGTCTTCGCTATTGTCCATAATGTTGTAATAAATGTTTACATGCACATGTTTTTATGGTAGAATGATTTCTATTCTTCCAGGTATATACCCAGTGATGAGATAGCTGGGTTGAATGGCAGTTCTATTTTAGCTGTTTGAGGAATCATCACAATTGCTTTCCATAATGGTGAAACTAATTTCCACTGCCACCAACAATGGGTAAGTGTTCCCTTTTCTTTACAAGCTTGCTAGTATCTATTATTTTTTTGACTTTTGAATACTAGCCATTCTGACTGGTGAGAGATGGTATCTAATTGTGGTTTTGATTTGCATTTTTCTAACGTTCAGGGATGTTGAGCTTCTTTTCATATGCTTGTTGGCCACATGTACGTCTTCTTTTGAAAAGCATCTGCTCCTATGCCTCGTCTACTTTTTTTTTTTTTTTGAGTCAGGGTCTTGCTCTGACACCCAGGCTGTCAGAGTGCAGTGGTGCAATCTTGGCTCATTGCACTTTCTGCCTGGGCTCAGGCAATCCTCTCACTCAGCCTTTTGAGTAGCTGGGATTACAAACGTGGGCAAAAACATTGGGCAATTTTTCTATTTTTTGTAGAGATAGGGTTTCACCATGTTGTCCAGGCTGGTCTTGAACTTCTGGGCTCAAGCAAACCACCAGCCTCAGCTACCCAAAGTGCTGGAATTACAGGTGTGAGCACAGTGGTGCCCAGTGCTTTGCCTGCTTTTTTTTTTCTTTGAGATGGTGTCTCACTCTGTCACCCAAGCTGGAGTGAAGTGGCGTGATTTTTGGCTCACTGAAATCTCCACCTCACAGATTCAAGCGATTCTTCTGCCTCAGCCTCTCAAGTAGCTGGGGCTACAGGCATGTGCCACCATGCCCGGATAATTTTTTGTATTTTTAGTAGAGACAGGGTTTCACTGTGTTAGCCAGGATGGTCTTGATCTCCTAACCTCGTGATCTGCCTGCCTCGGCCTCCCAAAGTGCTGGGATTACAGGCATGGGCCACTCTGCCTGGCCCCTTTACACACTTTTTTAATGGGGTTGTTTGTTCTTTTTTTTTTTTTTTCAAGACAGAGTTTCACTCTTGTTACCCAGGCTGGAGTACAATGGCGTGATCTCGGCTCACCGCAACCTCCGCCTCCTGGGTTCAGGCAATTCTCCTGCCTCAGCCTCCTGAGTAGCTGGGATTACAGGCACGCACCACCATGCCCAGCTAATTTTTTGTATTTTTAGTAGAGACGGGGTTTCACCATGTTGACCGGGATGGTCTCGATCTCTTGACCTCGTGATCCACCCGCCTCGGCCTCCCAAAGTGCTGGGATTATAGGCGTGAGCCACCGCGCCCGGCCCTATGTTTGTTCTTTACTGTAAAGTTATTAAAGTTTTTTTTAGGGGAGGGATAGCCTGGGGAGAAATGCCAAATGTGGGTGAAGGGGAGAACAAAAGCAAAGCACACTGCCATGTGTGTACCTACGCAACTGTCTTGCAAGCTCTGCTCATGTACCCCAAAACCTAAAATCCAATAAAATTAAAAAAAAAAGTTTTTTTAATAGATGCTAGATATAAGACCTTTTTCAGAAACATAATTTGTAAATATTTTCTCCCATTCTGTAGGCTGTCTGTTGTCTCTGTTGATAGTTTCCATTGCTGTGCAGAAGCTCCTTAAATAGATCCATTTGTCAATCTTTGCTTTTCTTGTGATTGCTTTTGTTATCTTTGTCATAAAACTTTTGCCCATTCCTACATTCAGAATGGTATTGCCTAGGTAGTCTTCTGGGTTTTTTTATAGTCTTGGGTTTTACATTTAAGTCTTTACCCATCTTTAGTTGATTTTTCAATGTAAAGCAAGGAAGGGGTTCAAGCTCAATCAGTGCATATGGCTAGCCGGTTATCCCGGAACCACTTCTTGAATAGGAAGTCCTTTCTCCATTGCTTGTTTGGTCATCTTTGTGGAAGATCAGATGGTTGTAGGTGTGTGACCTTATTTCTGGGCTGTCTATTATGTCCCACTGGTCTCTATGTCTGTTTTTGGACCACTACTACACTGTTTGGTTACTGTGGACCTGTAGTATAGTGTGAAGTTGGATAATGTGATGTTTCCAGCTTCGTGGTTTTTGCTTAGAACCGTCGTGGTTGTTCAACTTACTCTTGGTTCCATGTGCATTTGAAAAGTTTTTTTCTAATCCTGTGAAGGATGTCATTGGTAACTCAATAGGAACAGCATTGAATCTGTACATTTCTTTGGGCAGTATGACTGTTTTAATAAGTCTTGCTATCCATCAGCATGGGCTGTTTTTCCATCGGTTTGGGTCACCTCTGGATTTTTAAGCAGTGTTTTGTAATTCTCATTGTAACAATCTTTCACCTCCTGGTTAGCTGTATTCCTAGGTATTTTATTCTTTTTATGGCAATTGTGAATGTAATTATATTCCTGATTATGCCCTATGCTTTACTGTTGTGGGCATACAGGAGTTCTAGTGATTTCTGCACATGGATTTTGCAACCTGAAACTTTATTATAGTTGTTTACCAGTCATTTGGGCAGAGACTATGAGGTTCTCTAGATATAGAATCATGTCTTCAAATAGGGATGGTTTGACCTCTCTTTCTACTTCAGTGCCCTTTCTTTCTTTCTCTTGCCTGATTGCTCTGGCCAGGACTTCCAATAATACTATGTTGCATATGAGAGGGTGTGAGAGAAGGCACTGCAGAAAGTGTGGTTTGAAAATCCAAATTCAATTCATGCTCCATTCATCATAGTTTAAGCTGATTTATCAAATACAAAACAAAACAAAACATTTCTCTCTTAATTCTGTCTTATTGTCCCCTCACTTGCAAATACGAGCCCAGACGCACCAGGGCTCAGCACGACGGAAGACACACACACACACACACACACACACACACACACACACACACACAGAGCTTTGGGGGACTTGGGCATCAAGGACATTATAAAACAGTAGATTTATTCTTTGGGGGTTTTCAACAAAAACTGAAAAGCCTTTCAGGAGGCAAGGCTTTAGAGTCTAGAAATAACCTACTATGTTTTGAGCAATGCTGTATTTGCTGGGAAAAGACCGTAAATTTGGGTTGAGGAGCATGAAAAAGATGTTGAGTAGGTCCCCAGGGGCAAATCTGTTGAACATTGGTTCCTGGATGCTCTGTCTTCTCTTTTTGTCTGAGACGTCACTCCTGGCCATGATGAGCATAGGGTAGTAGCTGGTATAAAGATGAATGTAACCAATGCCCTCTGTGAACTGAACTGAGCTGGTGAATATCAATAAAGAAGATGCATCACTGTGTGTTTGTCTAGCGGGCACAGCATGTAGGACCCTGTAGGTTATTCAGATACAACGGGCACCATTTAGGGACATGTAGACATGAAATCAAACTCAAGTTCTGCTCCGAAAGTCTTGGGTTCCAAGATAGTCTTTATCCACTCAGTGTCTCAGATCAGTCTTATTCATTCAGAGCAAGAATTGCCTAATTCCCTAAGAAATTACTTCCATGCTGATGATGGGGCCTATAATCCATCATCAAAATAGAGATGTGACCAAAACTGTGAGAGGGATGATATAAAGAGGAGAGTGTACCAACAAGAACCCGAGACTTTCCAGTGAGAGAGGAGGGAATTTCAGTTCATAAAGGAAAGCAACAAGAAAGAGAGGCATGAAGGTGTTATTTACTGTGCATTGACACCTCAAAGTACCTTTAATCTTGAAGGAGGGCAAGGAGAAAGGCATACCCATGAGTAAGGTTGGAGTTTGCTGTGACAGTGAACACGGGAAGAGAGGATGAGCGATCAAAATGACACCTGAGATGGGCCCTGTAGATAAAGAATAATATTTGATGAGACCCTCTTAAATCTGCATTGTTTGGCTTTTAGGTAATATGTTGTCTATCTTCAACTAAATGGTTCTCTATTTGTGCTATGAACCAGATGACAACAGTCCTTATAGAGGGAAAAGGGCTGTCACTGTGCCATCTTTGTGGGAGCTCCAAGAAGCTGACAGTAGAAGGTGGAGCCAACTGTTACAAAGAAACATTTACAGAGAAGATGAGGCCAAGGCAGGTGGATCACGAGGTCAAGAGATCGAGACCGTCCTGGTCAACGTGGTGAAACCCCGTCTCTACTAAAAATACAAAAATTAGCTGGGCATGGTGGCACGTGCCTGTAATCCCAGCTGCTCAGGAGGCTGAGGCAGGAGAATTGCCTGAACCCAGGAGGCGGAGGTTGCGGTGAGCCGAGATCGCACCATTGCACTCCAGCCTGGGTAACAAGAGCGAAACTCCGTCTCAAAAAAAAAAAAAAGAAAGAAAAAAAGAAAATAGGGGTGTTGCTGGTTTAAGCAATGATATTCACCAGTGACAGCTGCTCATTTTTTTGTTGTTCTTATTTGTTTGTATTAGTTTGTTTTAATTTTTATTCATATACAAAGAGCTAGCATGGTTTCTTTCATTGGGTGCATGTCTTGCTTATCAATTCATTCATTAAGTCCAAGAACCAATGATGAGACTCATGATTTGAGGGAATTCAAGGCATGAATGGGGAGGTGAGTTAGTGAAGGAGATAACCCGCCAGCCCCCAGGTGTTCACCCAGTCCTTGTGTTGAGTCAGACATGAGTGAAGCATCCTTTGGAATCCAGCCTAAAAGACCTTCAGAAAACATGACTCTCACCACCTGATCTACCACTCACATGAGTCCAGTTAAATGAGAAAGATCAGAATAAATGATTGCTCTAAGCCAACATGTGTTGGGAGGTTTGCTGGGCTGCAATGCCTAGTGAAACAGCAGCGAAGCAGGGTCAGCTCACTGTGTCCATGTGTATGAATTGTGTCCATCCTAATGATAAACTACATATTTTCTGAGGTAAAACTATGACCACTTGTTTCCAAAGAGAAATCCCAGGATTCTGCCACATACCTCGGGTAAACGTCACAATTATTTATATACATCAACTATTGGGGTTCTTTAAGAGAAATCTTTGGACTCCCGTGATTCTCTAACTATTGCTTTAATTGAAATTTTCATGTGGGAAATGTGTCTTTTTCCAAAGTTCCTGCATGGCAGTCTGTACAGAGCCAGGCATCATCCTTACACACAATAAATATCCTGAGAACAATGGAAAGAATAAGGAAATTCCACCAGATTGTCCTCAAGTTACGAAATTTCTCCCCAAAGCCATGAGGTATACCTGTGTGGCTGTAAACAGCTATCTAAGATTTCAGCACAGTGAGTCATCGGAGATTGGGTAAGGATTTTGTCTCAGAGTCTCTGACGTCAACAACATGCTATAGAAGGACACTGTACCTAATGTCTTCTCAAACATTCCAGGGACCTTATAACCCACTCCTGGAGTCCCAAGAAGGTTTATTCTCCTTGATTTCTGGATGCCTCCCATCAAGTTCCTTGGGCCTTCATGGGGATGACCACTTCCTCTTTTCCCCCTTAAAGGAAGAGCCAAATCCTGGGAAATTTGGTGGTTTTTAAAATGACCACGTGTAGGGGAAAGGGTGAGGAGAGATCATGCTGTTAGGAGGCTCTGGGGATCCTATAGAGGAACTTCTCAACAATGAGGAGTATGGTCATCTCCCTCAATTGCAGACAGACATTGAGATCAGGGAGACATCTCTTCACACTTGAACCATCTTCACAGAACATCGTGGGAGTGGATGGGCAAAGCTGTAACAGTGTTGGCCACTTACTATTACCTACAAGAGGAAAAATGCATCAGAAAGACAGTATGCCACCAAACAAGCTTTTGGCCTCCTCTTCACTCTGTCCTAGTACCTACAATATTCCATGAGAAAACTGAACCTAGGACACACATTTTTGTATACAGATGACGTTTTGTGCCTATTTCAGACAGCTGCTCACTTTATTGCTAATGTTTCATCTCATTTCTCCAGCAAGATTCTACCACTCTGTGTATGTTTGCTCAGCCTCCCCACTAGCCTGTAAAATCCCCTTGGCTAGTGACTGTATTTCATAAACTTGAATCCCTCCATCTTGTACAGAGGTTCACACAGGTTGACATGAGACCAAACCAGGCTCACTGAATGCTTTCAGTTTCATGAACTATGACTGCCATTCACTGCTGATGGCCCAGTTTCTCTTTGGAGTTGCCTAGATTTAAGCTGATGGTGGCCAATAATAAAACTCAAGTGTTTGGGTTGGTTCCTAGTCTTTGCTATTGTAACCAGTGCCACAGTGCACATATGTATGCATGTGTCTTTATAATAGAACGATTTATAATCCTTTCGGTATATACCCAGTAATCAGATTGTGGGGTCAAATGGAATTTCTATTTCTGGATCCTTGAGGAATCACTCAAATACCCATCAATGATAGACTGGACAAAGAAAATGTGGCATGTATATGCCATGGACTATTACGCAGCCATTAAAAAGGATGAGTTCATGTTCTTTATAGGGACATAGATGAATCTGGAAACCATCATTCTCAGCAAATTGACACAAGAACAGAAAACCAAATACCATATGTTCTCGCTCATGGGCGGGTGTTGAACAATGAGAACACATGAGAACAGAAAGGGGAGCATCACACACTGGGGTCTGCTGGGGGGGTCTAAGGGAGGGACAGTGGGGTGTGGGGAGGTTGGGTAGGGATAACATGGGGAGAAATGCCAGATATAGGTTATGGGGGGATGGAAGCAGCAAACCACCTTGCTATTTGTGTACCTATGCAACAATCCTGCATGATCTGCACATGTACACTAGAACCTAAAGTACAGCAATAATAATAAAAAACCTTAAGTGTCATTGCAGAGATAGAATAGGACAAGCGTTGCAAAAACATAGGATATCATTTTGAAGAGCTTCTAAGCATAGGAAAATATTCCTCACCTGATCTGAATAAAATGTGAATGTTTTGGCCTACCAATTAGAAAGGGCCAGAACATTTGGACGTATTCTTCATTACTGGGCTATAAAGTAAACTTCTAGATGTCAATTTGTTAAATTTAAAACATTTTTGAACCAGTTATTTCATTTTTTGTGATTTTTAAAATTATACTTTAAGTTCTGGGGTATATGTGCAGAATGTGTAGGTTTGTTACCTAGTCATACAAGTGCCATGGTGGTTTGCTGGATCCATTACCCCTTCACCTACATTAGGTATTTCTTCTAATGCTCTCTCTCCCCTAGCACCTCACCCACCTGACAGGCCCCAGTGTGTGATGTTTCGCTCCCTGTGTCCATGTGTTCTCATTGTTCAACTCCCACTTATAAGTGAGAACATGTGGTGTTTGGTTTTCTGTTCTTGTATTAGTCTGCTGAGAATGATGGTTTCCAGATTCATCCATGTCCCTGCAAAGGATATAAACTCATCATTTTTATGGCTGCATAGTATTTAATGGTGTATATGTTTCACATTTTCACTGTCCAGTCTATTATTGATGAGCATTTGGGTTGGTTCCAAGTCTTTGCTATTGTGAACAGTGCCACAATAAACATATGTGTGCATGTATCTTTATAAGAGAATGATTTATAATCTTTTGGGTATATACCCAGTAATGGGATTGCTCGGTCAAATGGTATTTCTATGTCTAGATCCTTGAGGAATCAGCACACTGTTTTCCACAATGGTTGAACTAATTTACACTCCCAGCAGTGTAAAAGTGTTCCTGTTTCTCCACATCCTCTGCAGCATATATTGTCTCCTGATTTTTTAATGACCACCATTCTAACTGGCATGAGATGGTATCTCATTGTGGTTTTAATTTGCATTTCTCTAATGACCAGTCATGATAAGTTTTTTTTGTATGTTTGTTGGCTGCATATGTCTCCTTTTGAGAAGTGTCTATTTTTCACCGACTTTTTGATGTTTTTTTTTCTTGTAAATTTGTTTATGTCATTTGTAGATTCTTGATATTAGCTGTTTGTCAGATGGATAGATTGCAAAAGTTTTCTCTCACTCTAAGTTGCCTGTTCACTCTGATGATAGTTTCTTTTGCTGTGCAGAAGCTCTTTGGTTTAATCAGATCCCATTTGTCTATTTTGGCTTCCGTTGCCATTGCTTTTGGTATTTTAGTCATGAAGTCCTTGCCCATGCCTATGTCCTGAATGGTACTGCCTAGGTTTTCTTCTAGGGTTTTTATGGTTTTAGGTCTTATGTTTAAATCTTTAATCCATCTTGAGTTAATTTTTGTATAAAGTGTAAGGAAGGAATCCAGTTTCAGCTTTTTACATATGGCTGGCCAGTTTTCCCATTTATTGAATAGGCAATCCTTTCCCCATTGTTTGTTTTTGCTAGGTTTTTCAAAGATCAGATGGTTGTAGGTGTGTGGCCTCTGAGGCCTCTGTTCTGTTTCATTGGTCTATATCTCTGTTTTGATACCAGTACCATGCTGTTTTGATTACTGTATACTTGTAGTATAGTTTGAAGTCAGAAAGTGTGATGTCTCCAGCCTTTTTTTTTTTTTTTTTTTTGCTTAGGATTGTCTTGGCTATTCAGGCTCCTTTTTGGTTCCATATGAAAATGAAGGTGTTTTTTTCCAGTTTTGTGAAGAAAGTCAATGGTAGCTTTATGGGGATAGCATTGAATATACAAATTACTTTGGGCAGTATGGCAATTTTTATGATATTGATTTTTCCTAACCATGAGCATGGAATGTTTTTCAATTTGTTTGTGTCCTCTTTCACTTCCTTGAGCAGTGGTTGGTAGTTCTCCTTGAAGAGGTCCTTCACATGTCTTGTAAGTGTATTCCTAGGTATTTTATTCTCTTTGTAGCAATTGTGAATGGGAGCTCACTCATGATTTGTCTCCCTGTTTGTCCATTATTGATGTACAGGAATGCTTGTGATTTTGCACATTGACTTAGTATCCTGAGACTTTGCTGAAGTTGCTTATCAGCTTAAGGAGACTTTGGGCTGAGACAAGGGGGTCTTCTATATATACCGTCATGTCATTTGCAAATAGAGACAATTTGACTTCCTCTTTTCCTAACTGAATACACTTTATTTCTTTTTCCTGCCTGATTGCCCTGACCAGAGGTTCCATTGCTATGTTGAATAGGAGTGGTGAGAGAGGGCATTCTTGTCTCATGCCAATTTTCAAAGGGAATGCTTCCAGTTTTTGCCCATTCAGTAAGATATTGGTGGTGGGATTGTCATAAATAGCTCTTATTATTTTGAGATAAGTTCCATCAATACCTAGTTTATTGAGAGTTTTTTAGCATAAAAGCCTGGTGATTTTTGCCAAAGACCTTCTCTGTATCTATTGAAATAATTATGTGGTTTTTGTCTTTGGTTCTATTTATGTGATGAATTATGTTTATTGATTTGCATATGTTCAACCAGCCTTGCATCCCAGAGATGAAGTGGACTTGATCATGATGGATAAGATTTTCTGAGAAGCTGTTAGATTTGGCTTGCCAATATTTTATTGAGGATTTTCACATCAGTGTTCACCACGGATATTGGCCTGACATTTTCTTTTTCAGTTGTGTCTCTGCTGGGTTTGGGTATCAGGATGATGTTGGCCTTATAAAATGAGTTAGGGAGGATACTTTCTTTTTCTATTGTTTGGAATAGTTTCCGAAGGAATGGTACCAGCTCCTCTTTGTACCTCTGGTAGAATCTGGTTGTGAACCCATCTGGTCCTGGACTACTTTTGGTTGGTAGGCTATAAATTGCTGCCTATATTTCAAAACTTATTATTGGTCTAGTAGGGATTCAACTTCTTCCTGGTTTAGTCTTGGAAATGAGTAGGTGTCCAAGAATTTATCCATCTCTTCTATATTTTCTGGTTTATTTGCATGGAGTCGTTTGTAGTATTCTCTGATGGTAGTTTGTATTTCTGAGGAATTGTTGGTAATATCCCTTTTATCATTTTTATTGCATCTATTTGATTCTTCTCTGTTTTCTTCTTTATTAGTCTGACTAGTGGTTTATCTATTTTGTTGAACTTTTCAAAAAACCAGCTACTGGATTCATTGATTTTTTTTGAAGGGTTTTTTTTGTGTCTCTATCTCCTTCATTTCTGCTCTGGTCTCAGTTATTTCTTGTCTTCTGCTAGTTTGAACATCTTTATTTCTGCCTCCATTTCATTATTTATCCAATAGTCATTCAGGAGCAGGTTGTTCAGTTTCCATGTAGTTGTGTGGTTTTGAGTGAGTTTCTTAATCCTGAGTTCTAATGTAATTGCACTGTGGTCTGAGAGACCATTTGTTATAATTTCCATTCTTTTGCAGTTGTTGAGGAGTGATTTACTTCCAATTACGTGGTCAATTTTAGAATAAGTGCAATGTGGTGCTGAGAAGACCGTATATTCTGTTGATTTGGGGTGGAGAGTTCTGTAGATGTCTATTTGGGCCACTTGGTCCAGAGCTGAGTTCAAGTCCTGGAAATCCTTGTTAATTTTGTGTCCTGGTGATCTGTCTAATATTGGCAGTGGGGTGTTAAAGTCTCCCAATATTATTGTGTGGGAGTCTAAGTCTTTTTTGTAGATCTCTAAGAACTTGCTTTATGAATCTAGGTGCTCCTGCATTGGGAGCACATATATTTAGGATGTTAGCTCTTCTTACTGCATTGATCCCTTTACCATTATGTAATGCCCTTCTTTGTCTCTTTTGATCTTTGTTGGCTTAAAGCTTGTTTTATCAGAAACTAGGATTTAAATGCCTGATTTTTTTTGCTCTCCATTTGCCTGGTAAATCTTCCTCCATCTCTTCATTTTGAGCCTATGTGTG